GTTTTTCAGTAGAACAACCCTTCATCTAAACGTTGCTGTCGCTTCTTATTGTGACAAGGTTAAACTGTCCTTACAGCCATACGAGAACGGCCCTGTCTCCCAGCCTGACGTGCATATAAGATAATAAAGCATTTTTCGAAAATGTAAGTATACATACCTACTTGAAGTTAACATTTTAGCAGCAAATTTTCTGTCTGCGACACTTCAGTTCAATCTGTCGTTATCCGATGCAGAGCACTTCTTATCTGTTACTGAAAGCAGCGTTTATGCACAGAAAACATGTAAACATATACAACAATAATGGCTTATTGATAGTACATTTAGTGTATCCAGTTCTTTGAAACGTTTTGAGAAGCATGAGACATTTGTATGTGAATAGTTCACTTAGCTGGTTTCAAGCGTTAGTTTAACCTTGATGCCTATTAACCTTTTTGTGAATTTTTAATTTTTAGCTCTGTCTTTTTTTCTTTTTTCGTCTATTACAGTAAACACAAGATGGTTCATATTATTTTAAGTAATCCCTTTCAAAGACTCTACAGTGAACTGTATCACAAGTATTTTGACTGTCCACCTGTGATATCAAAGTAAAGATATTAATCATTCTAACGTTCGAGCAGAATGAAAGCAAAAAATATGAACACCAAAAGGTGCAAATTATATCATTTCTAAAAATATTTTTAAAGTTTGAATATTCACATTCCTGGTTTAAGATTTATCCGGCTGGAAAACCAAATGAAAATGGTTTAGTGCAGACTACTGGTCAGTAAATGGTTTGTAGTGACTCTTGTTTTTGTTAATTATAATGATTATTTAGGTCTTCTTTTGCCTTTAATGATTGTTACCTGGATGGGTAAATAATGGTTTCATGTTGTTATATTCGTTTACAGTTCACATTTTTCGTTTAAGTCTCTTAATCTTGGGAACTTTTTCGTGAAAGGTACCATGATAATGGTGTTTAGTGAAGGCGAAGTAATAAAGAAAACAATATTTTGCTAACGACTAGAAAACAGAGTCGGTCCGATTATCAGTCCAGAGCATTTCAGGTTTGGAAATGATTTTGTTCATACACGAATGCAAATAATAGTTATCCAATTACAATACATGAAATGAACAAAGGCCTAATTACACAAAACTGTTCATTATACGGTCTGCATCCATCAAAACGATACGCAATGCATTAATTCTCAGTTTTTATTGAAGTAATCCTGGAATCCGTCCAGTTACGTGTATAGGTTTTTAAACGGTTCGAAATACCGGGAAAAGATCCCACTGTAATAAAAAAATAGAAGTAATACGGCATATTGCACGATATGGATACAGCTGCGTTGGTCTAAAAAATGCTCCCATAGTCTTGTTCGAATAGAAATTGTAGTAAATAGTCGATTAAAAAGAGGTTCTGAGGCTTATTTGAAAATAAATGGCTGAACATTTTTTAGCTATAATTAATGCAGTGGTTAATAGTAGACTTTTTAACAATATATGTTTGTCTTTAGCTTCGGACATTCAAGAATAGTCCATTTCCGAGTTCACCCAGGCCTCTGTATCAAACGAGGTCAAGTGCTTAGTCTTTGAAATGGAAATGATTCTTCATTCGCATGTGAATAACACTTATTTTCACGAGAAAGGATGTGCGCTTGGCCTCATTTTGAAAGTGGGGGGTTTTTGGAACTCGAAAAAGGCGTATTAATTTATAGATATCATGTCTTAACTAAGTAAGAATATCCCCCTAATTGATGTCTGAAATCCTCAAAAATGCAATATCTTCATTAATGAAAATAATTACCGATTTTTGAAAAGACCTTCCCAAATGATTCATTTCGAGAAACCAGCAAGAGATTTGGCGCAGTAAACGGTCAGTATAGTGCATTTTCTCATTACACCCTGACAGTCATACGCCATCAGCTTAAAGACTATCTCAAACGCCAAAGTTGTATTTTTCTTCAGGTGAGGAATTTTACACATTTTTAAGGGTTTTCAACACTGTTTGAAGAGACGAGGGCAAAGAATACTTATCTTAATTAGATATTTGAGCCAACTTTTTAAACTTCTATCACTGAGTGAAAGTGGAAAATAATCAAAACTAGATAATAGGCCATTTGGACGATGACGTCATTTTACTACTACGACCAGAATCCTTCAGGATTTTGTCTTCTTGTGCAAATTAGGGCTTGTGTCTTCGAAACGTCACTGGGATTACCAAATTAGAATATAAAAGCAAAAACGAAAAGGATTCTGGTCGAAGTACTAAAATGACGCAATCGTGCAAATGGCCTTAGCTATAACTAGGAAGTTCACGATTTAGCTTTCATTGAAAGGTTCACATACGTAGGTGAGGAGTATGATTGCCTTATTGCATTAAGTAGAACACCTGGTACATTAGGATTAAGTACCGCCCGAGGCCGTAGGCTGAGGGCGGTACTCAGACCGAGGGCACAGTTTCTCCCAATACGGACCTCCCAGCCGGTGAATAACATTTTTATTTTTTTCCTACTGAGATTTAAAAGTTTCAGGAAAATTTTACTTCAGCCTCCAACCTATGTGTGTTAAAGAAGGGCGCGTTCTTGTTGATGTTATTCAAAGCACGCGATCGATTGCAAACCAAAACAAAACATTACCACATGATTTTTAACTTGTAATTTACATTGTCACAATTAAGCTATCTTTAGAATAGAGAAAGGTCTTTGTGTCTTGGTAGACAATTCATAATCTGAGTATCAAACAAGGGTAAAAGAATTGACGAACTTAAAAGCCACAGGAAAGAAAATACAGCAGAGATTTTCTTCGGCTGAATATTTACTTTAAGATAAATTCAATCGAGCGGGATAAAAACTGCACAAAGGCTTTATAAAAAGAGCTAATTACACATACCAATCTTAGGGTGGAATAAAAGAAGGCGATGTGGGTAACTAAACAATTATATAAACAAAGAAATAAAAACGGCGATAACTGACTGCTGGAAAAGTTGTTCGTGTTGTTTATTCAAGATTGAAAACTACATGCAATCGTTGACAACAACCTTGTCTGAAAAGTAGAAAACTAGCGAGGCAAAATTCAATGAAAAACGGCAGAATCTAGATTCAGACAGCAAAAATGGAAAAAAACCTACACACAGAGGGAAAATGTCGAATAAAAGGTGCATTAGAGCAAGATTGCAGTATTTACTATACAGCGTAGGTTATAAAGCTAGTGAAGCGACATTACGAGCCGCCTGTTTTGCTTTCCTTTAGCGGTTTTCCTGGCTGACTCGCTTGATTCTCCCTTCAGATTTTTCGTCTGAATAACAAAATTCACTTTTCCCTAGTTAACACTGATAATGGCGCACGTTTTAAAAGAAAAATGGTTTAAAATCACCGGTTTTGCTCATTCACAAACAACAAACAAACTTGTGAATGAAGCTGCCAACGATTCCGCTCGGGTTAGCGGGCAAGATCGTAAAAATCTGCCCGCTCTCGGAACCAATCAGATTGCAGGATTTGGAGGATTCCGCCCGCTCGCAAGCTCAGCAAAAAAATAATTATATATATCGATATATACATTTTTTTTTTTATTTTTATTTATTTTTTTTTTTTGCGAAATTAGCGCTAAAGTTGATCCTACATTTTACAGAAAACCGTGCCCTGTAAAAATATAATTCTGGTTCTGGTTAGAAATTTCAGAGAAATGATTGGAGTACAGGCCTGTAACCAAACGTCATTTAAAATTCAGCTTTGAAATTGTTTTGAAATTTCAAAAATAGATTGCTCTGAAGTATAACGAGCTACCAGTTCGAATTTTTCGGAACAAGTAGGTCCAGTGTTATGCCTATTCTTAAAGACTGAAAAAGCTGCCAATCGGGTTATTATTTTAAAGGGACTTTTTAGCTTTAGAAGCACTGTAAATTGCTCCAAACTTTTGGTCTGAAGTCGAATGACTTGTTCCTCTACATGTTTGAAATATCTCTTAACAGTTTTAGCTAAAATTCTTGCAACGTACATTTTGATGCATTGCAATGAATCTTCAACCTTTTTCACTGATGTACGAAGGTATTACTCCGCCCACCTCGTATAGCTCTTGCTAAAATAAAGTATATCATCATCATTGGGTTTGTAGTGTATCAGAGGTCAGATTGATTTGTCGAGCACCTTTCTACCTCAAAACAATTTACTTTTGAAATTCCAAAACAATTTCAAAGCTGACGTCTGCTTCAACGATTTTTCTTAACTTTCTTTGGCATAATTTATTGTATCAATAAAAGCCGATGCCAGAAATTTCAGTCAAAAAATATCAGCAAAATTTTTTTACTAGAGGCGATTTTCTTTGCAAAGTAGAGTCCACTTAAGTGCTTATTTCTCAAAAAAATATTTACCAGCAATGAAATGGGAATATTTCAATATATTATTGGCAAATGACTCGTACATTTGTTGTTCTTTGCAAAGATTCGGAGCCATCGCGTTAAAAACGAAAAATTTGTGGCGAAAAGTTCGTCTTAGCTCAATGCGCTTGCATTTTTTTAATGACTCTATCAAGACTGTGGTCCAAATTTCGTGGGGAAAATAAGGCGTCTTGTGAGGGCAGACGCGGAAAACCTTATTTTGTGTACCTGAGTTTCAGAATACATTTTCACATTTTGGCTGGGCCATTTTTCGATCAATTTTGGCTTTATATAAAAATAAGTAATAAATACATACAGACAGACATAAATAAAAATAGGCGTGCTGCGTTTCTGCAATAAATCTTGACGAAAGAAAAATAGTTAATTAAAATTTTCTTGGTATATTTTCTCTTTTTAAGGAAATTCCTTTTCTGCAGGACCATAACGCAACATTTTTAAAGCCAAAAGAAGCCTTCCACGTTGACACAAAAAGTAATTTATGAAAGATATGTAGCAGAAAACATATTGAGAATTACAATGTACAGTGACAATTAAACAGCTGCAGTTTATTTTAGACAGATACGTCTGCATTAAGCGATTATTATGAACTATATATTTATCATTTTTCGCTCGTAGGAATAGAAAACTAATGAAGTCACCTACTCATCATGTGTTGCCCTTGTCACTCGCTTTCTTTCTTTCCATCTTCTGCGTGAAGGCAGACTTTTCTCCGAATCAAACATGGGAACCATGCTCACCATACTGTAACTGCTCAACAGTAGACAACATGGTCATGGCTAAATGTGATTTATCATTGCCTGAGCAATGCGAAAGCTTCAACCTTCCCGATGATATCTTCTTTTTGTAAGTACTTCGTACAATTGTGTTTTTAGTTAGTAAGAGAATTCGTTTACGTTATGGTCGTGATTGCAGTCTCTAAACGATAACGCTGCTTTGAATTACTTTCTTGTGAATACTCCGGTTCTTAATTTGCATTTTCAGTTCGATCGGGACAGCTCACAATCTCTTCCTGCTCTAAATAAAGTGTCGTTCAGAATTATAAGTATGTGAACAGTTCAGGCGGTTGCCTCAGTGCACTACGCAACCTACAACTTCTATAAAAAGTGCTGTCTACTAGTGGAAAGATGTAATGTATCGACTGTAACTGGGCGAACTCCAGAAAGAGGCCAGTCAACAGCTTCTCTCGAAAGTGCCTAGCGCCAGATAATAACGAGCTTAAGCAAAAACGTGAACGTTGATGTCCCGGACGGTCATGATTAAGCAATAGACTACACTTTCTATGGGTTTACCGGCGTGATAACCCACGCGGATGTTGGGAGAACACGAGAAAAGCTTGAGTGATTTACAAGCTTTGCGAGTGTTCTCCCAACATCCAAGTGGGTTGTTACGCCGGTGAACCCATAGAAAGTGTGGTCTATTGCTTTTATAAAATAAATTTAAGTTTTCTATGAGTTTACCGGCACAATAAACCATAGTTTTTTAACCAATCAGAACGCGCGTACCGTTCTTTAGTCATTTTATCATGAAATAGTAGTAAACTATTCCTGCAATAATTGAAGCCATTTTTTATCGTTTAAATGCAGAGATTTGTCGCAAAACGATCTGGATGAAGTTCCCTCCTGTGTGCTGAATAAAAGTGCAAGTATTTCTTATCTGTAAGTATTCTAACATTATTGTTAGAAGTCCTCGTGAGAATAGTGAAACATGCTTTGTAAATAGGTGTCTAGTTTATTTTAATTACATTCAATTAGATTGCTTTTTAGTATTTGTCTAGCCGTAGACAGTTTCGACTTCTATTTATTGTTACCTTGTAATTTTATGTTTATTCAAAACCTTCAATAAAGATCTTTATTATTAAATTGATAATTATTTTTATGATTGAAATTAGTGATGGGACAGCAAAAGAAACATCACGCTAAATTCGAACTCTTCCTTCACCTTTGAGTCTGTAAAACAGTAGTAAAGCTTTGTGAATTCATTGCTCTCTCGTCCCCCAAATAATCTGACGAGTGCTTAGGCGGAATTTCAGTCTTTTCCAAAGTGACCAACACGTATTATGTTATTGCTACAAAATCAGACATAACCTGTTTTTGCTTTCACTTAGGTCACTTTCAGGGAACAAAATCAACAAGATAGAAGAAGGATCCTTTCCAGAACTACCCCGGCTTTTGAACCTGTGAGTGTTTGTTTGAACAAAAAGACTAATCGTGATCTTTTGTTTCTTTATATAAACTATTCTGTCCTAACTTTGTATGAGAACCCTTCAATGTTCGCAATTACTTGGCTGAATTTTTCTTTCTAAAATCCGATACAGTTAAAAAATAATAATTAATTATTTTCAGAGATCTTTCCTACAACAGACTGCAGCAATGGAGAGGGGACATCTCCACCGTCCTTCCCTCGCTTGAATCTGTAGACTTCACTGGGAACCAGTTCTTCCTCCCCGACAAAAATCTTCTCAGACTTGACAACCTTCTAGACATATACGGTATCGTATGGAGCACTGCATGCGGCGAATGTTATTTAATCAGAACCGAATTACTAAAAAGCTTTAATGACAGTGAATCACTGTGCATATTAGACGATAGGAACTATTCATTCGCGGACGAGATCAAATATGGAAAGTCATTATTATTCGTGAGAGAGGGCTTCTCTCCTCAGTGCTTATGTGAACATAAAGACTGTGACATGACAGAAAAGGGCATCCCTTATAATATGGCACTCAACACACTTCCGAGGAAGCTCTTTTATGTCGAGTACGTCTTTGGTAGCACTGCAGTGGTTTTGAATTTTGTCGTGGTTTTGATTACGTTTGGATCCCAGTCAATGCGCAAGAGTACGTCGTTCGTTTTAATTGGCAATATTGGATTGTGCGATGTCTTGATGGGTATATACTCGATCCTAATTGGCCGCTTTACCGTATACGAATTTATAGTAAATGAGAGCCACTATCCCGATACTGACACCTTCGTGAACAAGTACTGCACTATTATGGGTGTTATCTTCACTGGGGCCCAAATAACTTCTGTGTCAACGTCGTTCTTAGCTACTCTTGAGCGTTATCTATCTATAGTTTATTGCATGAATCCGCAAGCAAGGTTAAGGAAAACAACTGCATTGTGGTGCTTGGTAGCAGTTTGGTCCGCCGCGCTTGCCTTCTCACTATTGCCAGTTTTTCAAATTGGTGGTTTGAGATACCATGGAGAGTTTACTTGCATGATGCCATTTATAAACGGACCTGAACTCACCGACACTTCCATGACAGGGTTTGCTGTAGCCTCATTGCTAGTCCTTTTCTACCTCGTCAGTTTTGCTATGTACTTTCACATTTTCTTGCACGTCAGGAAAGCGGGAATTAGTGCTGGCGTGAAAAGAAAAGCTTCCTTGGCCAAGAACATTTTAAAGATGGTGCTGACTAACTTTCTTTTTTCTGTTATTCCAATGGTTTGCACGTTACTTTTTGTATATAAATACAAGGACCTTATGGAGGCGTTTAACGTTGATTCATTGACAAAACTGCGGATATATTTTATCATGTTGTCTTGGCTCCCTGTGGTATTTCTAAGTGTCAACTCGTGCTTAAACCCTTTCTTGTGCGCTTTTAGACATCCCAAATTCCGGGGGGAGTTGCATGCTTTTATTAACAGGTGCAAGTGCAACTGCTTTAAAACATCAAGCAATGAACTTTTTGAGGCTTCGACGCTTAAGGCAAACAAAAGGGTAGATCTTAATTGCACAGACGCCATTGTCAGGGAGGAACATTTTATAGACAGATATAGATCATTGGGTACGTTGACTTCCAAACTTTAATTTCTATCATTTTTTATCAGAAAAAGGTTTTTTGTTTTATTTTTTAAAGACACGGTACCTAAAGGGAAAATATCAACTGCATTCTCCCGTCCGATTAACAACGTAAAAGAGATGGAAGATGCCTGCTCTTACGACTATGGTTATTGACTCGGTTCTTCAAAAATCCTGTGCAAAAACCCTTACAAAGAATATTTTATGCGATTTTTATGTAAGATTAAGATCACAATTTTGTTGTTTTAAATCAGTAAAGTAAGGAATAAAATTGTCAGTTGTGGAAACAAGTAAGTCGAACTAAACACGGCACTTGCCACAAAACCTTCATGTAAGTAGTTTGCACAATAACTAGCACAGCGGCGTGCACAGTGAAAGCCGCAAAGATAGCACTGACAGGGCAATTTCTTTTGCGAGACCTTTCAGGCACATACAAATTATTTATTCTTCAACGTTCGTTTGATTGACAAGAATGTAACAACTAAAACATTCAGGCATCTTTACACTGTAAGGGATGAATTTATGACTGGTTAAAATCCCTGCGTTTAGGTTTTTTGCTCACACGGTAAAACACTAACCCGTAAGAAGATTTAGAAGCCAAACCGTTCAAAAATTTTAACACTTAAATCGCCGTGCCGTCATAACTACACCCTGTACGGTCGAAAATTCAAATTCAAAAGCATCCATATTTTTGTACGGCAAAGATCGTGAATACATGAATGCGTGATGACTCAGTTGCAAGACGACGCTATTTTGGATTTGCCCATGATCAAGTACGTTCAACTCTGTTCGGCAGTTCCGTGTGGACAGGGCAAAATCTTTAAAGGTTCCATGCAAACTTAAATGTCCGATCCAACTTTGCAGCTGCTCTAAGATTCGTGAACGATTTTTTTAACAAAGCTGATCCGCTGTGAAAAGGTAGGCATTTTAGTTTTTAGCGTTCTTTCTAAAAAAATTACATTGAAAATTCAATTGTTCTTTGGAATAGCTCCTCTTGACTCACACAATACAAGTTTTTTACCGCTCGACGTATGCTTCCCATTTTCCAGTAGTACAACAAGGGGTTTACACTTGCGTTTGTGTCGTTGGGTGCCCCTGTCAACTATCGCGTAACGCTTCTACTACTTTCTTTTCCCACAAAGTTTTTTTTTTTTTTCAGTTTTACTCTCGGTCATTTTGCCATGTTCTGAGTGTGCGCTTTAGTACCGGTCTTGAGACTGAAACTTAATGGCTCGTCAGAAATTCATGATCAGAACTATTGAAAAGAAAGTCTCCGACCATAGTTTCTCTCTGTCATCAGTGAGACGGATATTGAGGCTGCATCCGCTTCTTAGGGCCCGTTTCTCGAAAGTCCCAAAAATTAATGGGCCCCTAAAGCTGTTCTTGTTTATATGCAACATAGAAATTTCAGTAGTTTTGCATCTAACATGATAAAACTATCAGTTAATGAAAAATATGGAGTATTTTGCTAGCCAGGACCCGCACTCCTCTTATTCCTTTTATTTCGATTTGAATATTTGATTTCGGGCCCGAAAAGTTATAGGGACTTTGAACAAACGGGCCCCTGGTCCGTTGTCTAAGGCCTCAAGACGGAATTTACTGGAAAAGTAAACTTAATGCTTTTGCCTAACAGTGTCCTTTTAACGTAAATTTGAAGACGCCAGGGCCAAACCCATTGGTAAACACGTTTAATTCCAGCTTTCTAACTTGCTGTACCTGCGGCATATCATCTTAGTGTCAGGTTTTAAAGCTTGTTTAGTAGCCGAGCATGCTGTAAGGAAGAAATTGTCAGATATACTTTGACGTATCCTTTGGTGAAGGAATCAGAGAGGAACAGGTCAGCGTTCTAGACCCCAGGTTTCCTTCATTGTATATATTCAATAATACAAACTGAAACTCATGCGTTAAGTCTTCACACTCAAGGAGAGGTTTGTAGACTTGAAAATAGCGCTACGTCATCTGCCGCTCCACACGGCCGCCTTGTCTGGATAGCATTTCCCCAATTACTTTGCAATATTTTCTTAGTTGCGTGTGCTAATGTAAGTTTTTTAATGCTAGTTAGCTTGTGCAAGCATTTGAAAAGCGGGGGAGACAGGGCTTAGAGCGAATTGCTTACCTGACATCCTTCAGCAAGAGTTACAGCGTAACCCTTTCGACGGGTTCTTCTATCCCCTCAACGACCATTCCATGTGAGTCTTAAGAGGTAGTACCTAAGTAAGATTCAGAGCCACCCTTCACCAAAATATACATATGAAATAACATGATTTTTTTTTATTGTGATTCTTCACTCAAAACAAAAAAAGCTTCCGAGATCATTTATCGAGGTTCTCCAAAGTAAAACCTACTCAGTGTTCGTGTGTTCTGGCAGGGTGTATGATTTTAATGTTTTCCAAATCCTAGCCAGCATGACAGGCGCTCTATGAGCCAAGCGGGGCGAACGCGAAATATCGCGTTCGCCCCGCTTAGCTCATAAAACGCCTGTCATGCAGGCTATCCAAGTCCCTTAGTC